GGGGGCGGAGCGGGGCGGCCCGGGCTGCGCTCGTCCAGCTCCGAGGCGGCGGCGCCGTTAAAGGAGCCTCCGCGGGCGCCGCGCCGGCCTGCCGGGGCGTCCGCGTTTGTCCCCGGCCCGCGGGGCGAGCGCGGAGAGCAGCGCTTTATTTAGCGTTTTTATGTAGTGCTCGTACGGCACAGAAAAACGCCTGTGAGACCTTCTCGCATGCGCCGTGTCCTGATTCCCGGCAAAGACACGTAGCAACTGGTGGACCTTGCCTAACAGGGCGCTTTGGAGGCGCTATTTCGTGGAGCATTTCTGCACCGGGGCTGTGGACATAACTAAGCCGGGTTTAGCACAGCGCGGTCAGAGATGTGCAATGAAAACAGGGCAATTCAGTGTGCGGCCAAGAGCTCCCATCAGGAAGGATCCAGGGCTGCCGGCGCGGTCTCTCCACGGAGATGCAACCGTTAAGAGAGGAAATGGAGAGGAAGGCTGGAAATGCTGATACAGTGGGGAGAAGGTCGGTGGGGAACCCGGCCCGGGATGTGTGGCAGCTGGGGACACCCTCGGGGAGTGCACACAAGAAGCATCTGCTTCGGTCTGGGACAGAGGGAAGTCTCCAGGGAGACTAGTGAAATGGCCAAGAGAACGACTTTAGCAGCACCAATAAGGGAGATATCATTCATTTATATGAGATAAAATGTAAATCAGAAGTCTGCTGTAAAAGCACTTTTGCTTTTGCAAACTTCTTTTACACATTCCTTACCTGAACATCTGTATCTTTAGGGTCACTTAAAAATTTTCTAACATCCTTAAATCAAACCTGATTTCCACCAGACCCTCCTCTCTGTAATCATCTTGGCTCTACCCACCACATTCATTTTGAATATCCTCCTTTAACTCCCTCGGAGTAGGGAACCCCCGGGTGCTGCCGTGTCCTCTGTCTGCAAAGCAGACAAAGCAGAAAAAAACTATGGAGCTTGCACTGAGCTGGATCACTAATCCAGGTCTCCCCTTTACTCAGCCAACCACAGCTGTATGTAGTATAGTTTCTAAAAGTAGATGTGACTGTTTGCATCTTCCAGACCTGTATGTGGTAGCTATTCTACTGCTGACCATGCTAAAACCCACCTCCTGCTCTGGCAGCTTTACTGAACCCAAACCTGCCCTTCCCTGTGCGGGAGAAGCCTTGAGTGCTGCATCTGCGCACAGGGTCCTGTCATGGACCTGTACCTCCTGCTCTGGCAGCTTTACTGAATCCAAACCTGCCCTTCCCTGTGCAGGAGAAGCCTCGAGTGCTGCATCCTGTCATGGACCTGACACGGGCACGAATCATTAAGTGGCTCTTTTCTAAACCTGAATATGTGTTTTAAATGCTGGGAGGTAGAATTGCATACAGTGCTCAAGTGCAGTTGCACCAAGGTTCACTAAAACATCGCAAAGCTAAATTTACTTATAGGGCTGCCATGGGAAAGAAGGCAGATAACTTCTGGGTGTAAATTTGAGTCACTTTTCTGTTTCTTACATTTTTCAAGAAAAACAAGATGTAGATGCAAAACTGGCCATTTTTCCCACTTTTTTTTTTCCTTTCTTGAGAGGATTGACATTATGTGCCATTGCTTGAAAAGTTAGAAGTAAAAGAAAAGAAAAACTTAAATTATCCCCTGTTATTTCACAGTTAATAGTTTAACTGTTTAACTCCAGATGTGTAAGAGGGATGTCATTGATTCTGGGTCTGTGCCAGGTTTATAAATTATGGTTGAGGAAGTACACCAGTTTATGAACAGAAGAGCTCTAAGAATAAATTGTAGATTGGGATATGCATTAGAGTAGTAAGAACTGCCTAACAAGGGTCCCCACCCTCCCAACAGCAAAAACAAAATGTGTCTTTTAGAAGCTTTGGATCTGTGATGTAAAAGAGGTTTAATGCGCATGTGACAAGGAATGAGAAGGATTATTCAAAGTGTAATATAGGTGGGAAAGGATTATAACAACTGCGATATGGGAGAAAAAATATAAAGAGTTTTGCTGCAGAAGGAATAAAAAGCCGGATTTTTAATTGGGATCTCTTTTTAGCTTTCTTAGAATATTAATTGGTACATTTTAGGAGTTAACATGTAATAAGAAAATCATTCCCTTAAATCTTAGAAGTCTGAAAAACTCTTCCACTCCACAACTCTCTTTTTTATTTTGTGGTGCTCCAGTAAATAGTTTTAAAATGTCTATTTTCAAATAGTGGTTTTAAAAATACACTCTCCAGTGGATAGGAAGAAAGGAAGAAAGAAAAAATCACAAGGAAAAAAATCTCAGGAACACATGACAGAAACATTTGGCATATTTTACAAGCTATTGGGTAAGATGACAGGGGAGGGCAATTTGCAAAAAACACTCTAAGGTAGATAGCAACAGTAGTTAATTATGAAGATGCAGAATTACTGCCATAAGAGATCCTTTTGCTTTGGATGGCAATGTCCTTTCTGGGCGGCTTTCCGGTATTCGGTTAATGCTGCAGTTTTGCAATTCGCATGTTCCTTTTCCATGGCGGGCAAAGACTCTCACCCTGCAAGCAATTAACCTCCCGGGAATCTTTACACAGGGACAGGCCCCTCTGGGGGAATTAAGCTGAGTCATATATCTAGTGAAGTTAAAGGCATCTCCCCCGCTGGCTTCAATGGCAGGGGGATCAAGCTCTTAATTTATACAGTGCAGAATTTAAGGAAAAGTAGTATGTTTGTGTATCCAAGTTTAACATATGCTGCTAATTATTTTAATCTGTTTTTTGTTGTTGCTGTTTTTAATATATAAACCAAATTCATGGAAGATTTTTCCATCTGTATGCATTTGTAACCAAAGGAATAATAATAAATTGGAAGGGATATTCCAAATTCAAGAACTTTGGCATTCTGGCACTGAAAAAGAATCCATTACAGAAGAAACAATGAATCATGTTTCTAGTAAAATGTGCAAAGAAGAGCTTGGTTTAAAATGCTGCATTAACTTATTTACCAGACCAATGCAAGTCATCCCTGTCAGCTTTGTAGGTACTTGCTGTGCTACTTCCTAGGTCTTCACTAAAGGCCAGCTCCTGTTGCATTCACTTTACTGTGTGACCTCAACTCAGTGGTGCAATAGCTAAAGGCCATTACTGAGGAAAGTGACAAAAATGCATCCCGATTTGCAAAACACAACGCGACCAACTACTCCTTCCCCATCCTCACGTGGATGTTTCCCTGCGCTTGCTCAGCCCCACAGAGATCTGATTTCAGGACAGCACAACAGTCTGGCGGACTGACGCTCTCCCCGAGTGAAAAATGACCCTCGCCGTGTACCACGTTGCCATGATCCCCGCGCAGGGTTGCTCTTACTCACCCACCTACCCCGCTCCAGCTGCACGAGGCTTAACGATGGCCGCGGCCTTTGAGGCCGGACAATGCGATTTACGGCCCCCCGGCGCCGCACGGTGCTGCTATTATTTCTGCCCGTCCTCGAGAGGGGACAGCGTGACCCGGAGGGGCGGCTGGTACTACAG